AGTGAAAATAAAGTTCTCTAACAGGGAGTGTTGAACTTTCTTAAATATAAGCAATTCTACTAGCTCTGTTGATATTCTGATTTGCGTATGTTACACTCCAACTTTTAGTCACGTTACTAAGTATTGAAAAATACAGATCAAAAACGTTCCGGGTCACTATCTTTGTCTACAGCGTAAGACAACAAACTAGACATGAAAGATGTTTGGGCAAAAATAGCAGAAAAATAAATTAATTCAGTTCATTCAATAAAGAGGTTATTTTTAATTGTACAACATACCTGACACAAGACCAAAACTCAAGACTTCCAACTAAGCAGACCGTCAAGCTTATCTGCTTCCTCCACCTTGACAATAACCTCTTCAACAAAAAGTACACCTTACAAATGAGAACACACCTGTGAGCACCAGGCTAGTCCCATGCTATACCAGTTTTTCTCCATGTGCTAAATGAAGCAAGGGTTTTCTAGATAGCTATAGGGTAGCTATGGAGGTATAGTTAAGATATACGCAGGACATGATCTCGATTTAAAAATTCAGACTTAATTCATTTCTACTGCAACTCTACTAACAATTACTCCTCTATCCACGCATCTATAGCCATTTTATGTGCTCACTTCAGGAACCACAGACACTCCTCCTAAGAAAAACTCCTCCCAGGACGCCTCTGAACAAACAACCCAAACACTATGTACAAACGTTCCCCTTCAAAAAAAAAAAGCTTTTGGATCTTACATATACATGTTTTACAATGTGAAACACTTTTTCCACCATATCTACTGTCCTCATGGAAATGAGCTGGTAAAACCAACCATCCAAAGCATTAAAATTGATTTATTTCCACAGATGATCGTGACAGGAAGCACCAAATTTCCAGACAGAACATTTCTCAAGATACTACCACTCTGCTCTCGACTTCTTGACTTTCACAGGAACCCCATGAAGTAACAAGGTAACAAGTCTTAAAAGAAAAGTTCACAGTTTTGAATCCACGAATTTTAACATTCAAAGATCATCAGGATTTCATAGCCCACTGCAACATTCCCCAAAACACACCTATTATCCACTCACTGCAGAGTAAGTGCTTAATTTTCTTCTCTCTTTCATAGGCGCTAGCTGCTATTTGCCTGCTGCTTCTACTAACAGTACTTTTGAGGCAGAGAAAAAACTATTCCAGACCCTGAAAACAGCCAGACATTTCACTCAATTTATATCCAAAGATACTTTTCCTAATACATACTTATTTAGTCTACACTGGCATGTCCATACCTCCTGCTACATTATCAAGATAACTTGGCACCAAAAGCTACCAGTGCTGGCACCTTTATGGTCAAGCTCATGCAGTCAAGAAATACCTCTGAAATAAGGGATATAAACTTCTATTCAAAGCTTAGTATAGGATGTCCCTTCCCTTGAGAGACCACTTTAACATCTCCAAGTCTTATTCGGACAGTAAGTTGTAGAAAATTGGCTTGGATAGTTTGAGGAACTAGAATGACGAACCAGGAGTTCAGGTAAGAAGCTTAGGAATTTGAATATTATCTCTAACTACAACTAATAACATAGGTGATAAGACAACACAAAAAAATACTTAGGGAGCATAATAAGCCACATCCCTGCACAGAACCACTGACATTGCCACTCTCTGCAACTACTACAGACCCCCCCCCCCCCCGCACAAAAAAAAAAAAAAAAAAAAACTTGCAAGGATGAAAGCACAATTAAACGCTCTCACTTAATGTTCATCCTCACACGTTCCCACAGCCTCTACGCACCTTTAGGAAACTCCACGCTTCACTGCTATCATGCAGCTCCTCAAAAAAACCCGCTACGTAGGTGCTAACCTCATACAGGAAAAAGAATTTCTGGAGAGGTATTTATATTTGCAACATAAAAAAATGTTGCCATCTAAGAGAATAGGTCACTTACAATCCCAGTGCTTCCTTTAAATAACTACTTTGTATATGTAGGTGGATAAAGTTATAACTCCAGTTGCGAAGACTTTGGCTACTGATTTCTAGTATTTCCCCGGTTTTAAAGTGAACCTCCTGTTCTTTCTTCTAATTGCAGTCTGGTTTAAAAACGATACTAATTATAACACTGTCTGACAAAGTTTACTTCTGACAAGAACTGACTAGACATGAAGAGAGTTTACCCAAGTCAAACATTCCACCTGTCATTTACTGAAAAAGCCTTAAAATTATTACACAAAGATAACTAGACATCCTTGATCAAACTCAAAGCTAAGAGAGTTTCTGCACGTTTCAAGACTGCATTCTTAGAAAATGAAGGGAAGTAACATGTAAATAAAAAGCTGTGAACTATTAACTCTATTTGCCTAAGATGAGTAACTTCCTAACCTCAGCATATTATCTCTGAGTGAAGATGGTAGCTTTTCATTTTCCCTAAAATTTCAAGTCCGGATACAAAAAATAAACATTTTTAAATACCTAATTAGCTTAAATGAATGAAATGCATCTGCAACTTTAGCATCTCCCTTCAGTTTTATAATCCAATCACAACATATTCCTCCTAGGAGGAAATGACCAGCTAAAGTAAATGCTAATCAAAATAGAAGATATTATTTTTTGACTGATAGCTAGTGAGGTAAATCATTTAAAGTATGATTTCAGAAGTTATTAAAAAAACGACAAAAAGGTGAAAACGTTCTCAATCTAGAAACTGATGGCAAGGGTAGAATCAAAGCAACTTTGCTCAAAGGCAGCGTAAACAACTTGTTCAGCAAAATGATGCAAGGTATTATGTCTGCTATTACAAAGTTTTAGTAATTACTAATGCAAAAAAGAAGTATGTAACTTATTTATATTTAAAAGCTACCACTTCTCAGCATTGGTTTAAGAACTTAAAACAATTCAGACATACTGTGGTATGCAAGACAAAATTTGATTTTTTAAAAATATTTCAAAGTTAAAATTAAAAATTGCACAGAAAATTCTACTGTGTTGATGCAATTCAATAAAACAGCACAATCTCCTTTAATGGAATTTAAGAATTAGCTATATATCACTTCGGATATATCCTCAGTATCCTCCATTTTGCTTCAGAACAGGAATTAAAGCAACTTACCTTGTCTGTGAGACTTTGCAAAAAAGATGACCACTTCCCTATCTTACCACATCATAAATAATTTGGTTATTTTGAAAATGAATATAAGTCCTGCCTTTTGCTCAATTACTTCCTTAAACTGTGACTTTGCAAAATCCTTCATTCTATAACAACCAGCATGGTATTTTATGCAGTATTCCACATTTAACTTTTAAATTGCATAGAGATAACCTCACATTCAGACTTTCAGATGACATAATCCATCCTCTATCAAAGTTGACAGTATGAGCCTACTGATTTTGAAAGTGCACCCAGGACTATCCCAAGTCATAATTTCCACTAGAAACTTATCACTGGAAATAATTATTTCTAATCTCCAGTGATCTAAATATAATTTTCCAGAAGAAAGCACATAAAGCAAGGAGATTCATTCCTCTATACTGACAAAGGCTAAAGCTGTAAAACTAGATGCTCTAACCATAAAAATGATAAAGATCATATGAATCTGTCATAAACTATTATCCTCTTCCCATGAGTAAAAATATCAGAAAGAGCAAGATGCAAATCTTTTCTTCCATGAGAGCTTGGAGGACCAAGGGAAAAAGTATTCGGTTAGCCTCATTGAACAGTACTTATATATCTTAAACTTGGTTTTAAATACGGAAAAAGAATGTTATACTGCACTTTTTGTGGTTACGTACTATCTCTGCACTAAAGAGTGATTTCCAAAGGATATATTGGAATAACAACAAAAACTAAAAAAAAAATTCACAGAACTAGTAATGAAAGAATGAGCGCCGAAATACTTTTGGTAAATTTTTGTCAGCGAAGGAATTCATCCAAAAATCACAGACTAGGACAGTGACTAAGAAGAACAAATCCCAGTTCTCCTGCTCCCCAATACCTTTATTTTAAAACCTAAATCATCCTTCTTTCAAAGAAAAATACAGTACAAAAATCCCAAACAAAAATAATGGCCAACAACTTCTCTATATTTATATAATGTGAAGGAATTCACTTAAAAGGTATGGATACTTCCTTTGACGACTTACAGGCCCGCAGCCTTTTTCTATAAAGACATGTATTTGTAACACAGAAAAGCCCCTGTTATGCAGCAAAGAAAAAGTAATTCTTAAAGTCATTTGCACAAATTTTGTGCAAATCTCTTAATTATACAGGAAATAGCAACCGGTCAGTCACCAATTACTCACTGGCACTGCATTACTGGAACACAAAGCTGGAGGGAACCACAGAATAGTTAGGGTCGGAGGGTACCTCTGGAGATCATGTAGCTTTCTCAAGCAAGGTCAGCTAAAGCAGGTTGCCCATGACCGTGTCAAGTGGGGTTTTTAGTAACTCCAAGCATGGAAACTTTACAACCCCTCTGGGCAACCTGTTCCAGTGTTCAACCACCCTCATAGTAAAGAAGTGTTTTCTTGTGTTCAAGTGGAAGTAAGGGAAAAAATTAAGTTCAGAGATAACTGGAAGAATCCTATATATCTTGATTAATACCAACAAGCTATTCCAAATATTTCTAAAAACTTAAGTCCAAGAAACAAAACATATTGATGTTTTCGGAATTCTGATCTGATGTACATCCTTATCTCTTATAAAACCATATAACTTATACTGTCAACTGGCATCAGGTAGAACACATCCGTATTCGGCACACTGTACCACTATAACATATTCTCTTCCCTAAACAGTCATGTTTATGACAGCAAGCACTAACGCATATTCTTAGCTTTCCGTGTCTTCTGGTAATAAACTAACAGTTCAACTCCAATTAAGCCACAAACAAGGACAATGTCAAAAATAAAAGCACAAATAAAAAAGCAAAGTCATTACTCAAAAATAAGAAAGGCAGAACCTGATCTAAAATCAAATTACACCAGCATGGTCATGTCTTTAAGAAATAAATAAGGTAGCATACATACTTTTCTGCTTGGAGTTTCGTTGTTTTCACTATCAAGTCCTGGGTTTGTTCCTTTGCTGCCTAGAATATGATTAGCATTGTAAGTACAAGAAACAAGTGTACCAAATGTATTACACAACCTTTAAAAGTATGTAATACTTTTGTGGCTTTCTCAGCTGAAACAGTGTACTCTCGGAAATAGATGGCTTTTTGCAATACGTATTCACTAAGCCTCCCAGCTTTCAGGCATGAAAGAAAATCCCTAATTAATGTCCTTATCCATATATATTTTTATCTTTACATAGATTTATATATGCACATAATTAATATTTAATTCCGATATAGTTAACATAAACATGTTACATAAATAGTACAAATAGTTCTCACTATTTTGTCTGTCCATCAATTGTAAATTCTTTGCTGTTACAAATGAGAAGTGAGAAAAGTTTATCTGGATGTCAAACTGCCAGTGTCTGCCCAGACATATTAGACAACATGAATACAGCTGTGCTTCTCAGCTATACTCAGCCCTATTGCCCAAGCAGCTTACAGCTCTGTTAAGCCTAAGTGCAATACACTCAAAAAGGCCAGCTCAAAAAGGCCCAGTGCTAGCCCATCCCTAGAGCTCAGCTCTAAATGCTCAATGATGACAACACAAGGAAATCCATGTAGAAACAATTCTGCTGCAGACAGCAGTCGCATGACTATAAGGATTGCTGTAACTGAAGTTAAAAGAGTTCAGAAATACGTTTCTCAGCAAGCACATCATAGAGATCTGGAATTGTTTTTCTCCCACAGGACACCACTAGTGATGTTTCAGGGAGAAAAAGAAGGAAATTAAACACGTACACACACACACACACACACACGTACACACACACACACGTACACACACACACACGTACACACACACACACACGTACACACGTACACAAATCCTGAAATCAAAATCCATTCAGTATGGAAGAATACTGCAAGAGAAGAGGGTAGGAAAGAGCTATAAAGGTACTCTTGGTGAATAATCTCAAGACTGAAGCCAAGCTGTGTTTAATACGGCTAAATTATTGTCTTAGCCAAAACCAAACAAGTCAGCCTTGGAACCTCTGAAAGGTCTAACGCAAGCATAGTCACACACTGATTCATTCTAGCCCTTTCTACTTGCCACATTACAGTAGGTATAAAGCAGAAGCAGTTAAGCTACAGGAACACCTTGAAAGGTGAAAACAGGACTGGAAACTATGCAAATATGACTTCACTCAGAGGAAGCCCGAGTATTCCGTAAATATAATAAGCAAGTACTGCTGAAGTGCAAATTGCTGAATTTTCTAAAGGAAACTATAACAGAGTGGCATATAAGACTTGACAGAATTTACTGAAGATTTAGCAACTTCAGAATCATTTAAAGATATCCTTAAACTTTTTATATTTTATATATATTTACACTTTAAAGGCTTATAATATACATTGACTTTTAATGCGTCAGCCTAGAGGACGGGGGTTCACCATTCAGCAATACCTTTCACTTAAAAAGCCAAAAACAGAGAGAAGACCAATAAAGAACTACAGCTTTCTATATAACAAAAAAGACCATTACAACTAAAGACTGGACCTGGACTATTTTGTGAAGAAATCCACTAATTTCAGGTATTTTTTTCCCTTTAAGATTTGCAGATTTTAATAAACCGAAACAGATGGAAGAAGAAATTTGCTTTCTTTCCAAACAAGAGCTCTCCAGATTTCCTTTCTGGATAGAAATACTAATTATTAAGGAGACTACGAACAGCAAGATAGCAGAAAAGAAGGAAAAGCAATTTTTCTGGCTAGATACATCAATAACCATTTTTTATTTACATGCATCCAAAACCAGGTCAGATACATTACATCGTAGAATAGCAGCACTAGGAGCCTACAATCCAAGCAAAACAGGATAGCTGGCAGAAAAGAGTCAGACTTGCCAGAAAATCAGAAAGTTGATATTTGCTATTCTACTTCTGGATCCAAAACAAAAATATTTCTCTTCTCCACCTCAGTATACTAATTACAACTTTCATTATCTTTGACAGGGATAAAGCAGGGTTAAAATTGTAATGCTTGCCTTCTTCTCTTCCATTCAACCATCACACACACTAAGTCACTGTTCTGGACCAGTACCTATCTGTTTGTATTGAATAACGTTATAAACTTACAAAATTTAAAATGGAAACGCTTTTAGACTAAGAGAAATATATAGACCTTTTTGTATCTTGCCTTTGCTCTACTGTTCTTATTACACTTCTCTGCCTTATGTGCAATATTCCTTTCTCTATCTCGCATTTGCTCTTCTCTTGCAGTACAGTGTTTTACTCAGCTTGAGCACATGCCATCTTGATGTTCTCTTACAGACAAAGTACTGGAGCACTTGACAACTGAGTTTGCTAGTTCACGAACTCATTAACTTATCTTACATTCATACAGACAAGTAAAACAGGTTGAAGAGAGAAAAGTCAGAGTTGTAGAGGGCTCAAGAAGAAACCTTCTGTGAGGAAGAGAACAAAACTACTCACTGATTTTAACAGAAAAATGAATCACTGCACGGTGGCCCTATTTACTCTGAAAAAGATATGATAGCTTCATTACATAATCTAAAGACAGAAAAGAATAAAAACCTGCATGGACACTTGACTCATTTCCACATCTGAGAGTTTAACCAAACAGTGCCTACACTGCACCAAATTCATATCCAGACCAACAGTGTTCCAGGAGACCTGAGACCTCAGAGGTGCATTACCTTTCGGAAGGTGTACCTTCCAAAAATGGAAAATCAAGTGGTGCAGTGAGCTAGACTGTAGGTATATTTCTTCTCTCACACTTTCTGCAGAAAGCTCATGAAACTAGGAGCTTTCTCAAGGGAATTATATACAACGTTTATGAAGCCTATTCATCTAAACACCTTTAAATACACAGTAGAAGAGGGAGAAAGCAACTGTTTGCACAGGAGTTTTTAGAGAAGAACTCTCACTCACATACTACAATTCACGTGCTATGCTCAGAACAGATTTGGTTCGGCAAAACATCTACACTTCGGCCTAGATGCGACTATCCATAATCCTTTTAAACTCATCATTGGATCGAGTATTAAACTCATACACTAAAATCAGGCCAGATGTAGTAATGTTATAAAGCACAACCTTTATCCTCTAGTATATTATGGATTCAGGATTATTATGAAACAAACTTATTTTTGTAGCACCTCAACATCTTGAGACATAGTTATGAAACAAAATCAACAGGATCAAGACTGCACATTACATTTGTCTCACTCTTTGAATTATAATACTTTCTCACAAATATAGCTGAGATATTTATGTGAACATTTAACTCAACAGTTGTAGTCAATGCCACAGACAATTTTGAAATCAAAATACAGAAACATAGCTAACCTCTTCATCTCACAGACATCCTAGTTAATGAAATAGTTTCTCTCCATGAAAACACTAGTGGATATTGCATTGATATTCTCAGAAAGGTTTATTACTATCTGCTGAATTGGAAGTAGGAGCAAAGGAAAATAATTTGCTCAATATAATTTCTAAACAAGTAAAAAGAAAAATATTAAAGTAATAATAATAGCTATACTTTGAAAACATTTCAGTTGCACTGTTAAACTTCCGAAATAATTGTTTAGCCTGTTAAAAGAAAGCAGTTACACTTCAAAAGGAAAAAATGGAACACACATATATTACCTTCAAACGACTGGACATATCTTCACAACAGCTGCTCATTGCTTGCACATCTTCATTTATACTCTCAAGCTCCTAAGCAGATTCAAACAACAAACAGCTGTTTTTTAAATCAGATGTCACACTGGGGCCCAGCTTCATCCCACCAAAATAAGATGTCTGAGTTGGGAGGAACACACAGCGGAGCAGAAGTACCTCTACAGATCAGTGTTCAAAAGGGATTTTTTTTTTATTTGTTTGAAATATCACCTTTCTCTGAGCAAGATTTTGATCAGAGGGTACAATTTCTGAAATAGTTTTACTGTAAAAGTACGTTTGTCCTGGAAAATCAAAACATCCCTAAATCCTTTAAAAAAAAAAAAAAACACACACATACACTTTAAGTAGTAGCAGCATTCTTGTGAGACAACTGATAAAACTGTAAAAACAATACCTCTTTAACTTGCTTAAATATGTGGACAAACTCTTCATTTATGGCTAAGCTTCGACGTTCAATGTCTCCACGCAGGTTTCTTCGGGTGCGTAAACTGTTCTCAAAAAAAAAGGTCGAGAGAGCCTTGAGAGCTTCCAGCATTTCCTGAGAAATAAAGAAAGAGCCGAAATTTCCATTCGGTTACAAAGGCGAACGTTACATACAACTAACGCAATTTGTGGTTTTAAAGAAAAGAAACCACCAAAACACGCTCCAGCTCGGTTGCTAAATAACTAAAATAAAGGCTGAGGTCCTTCTTCTTTTTCTCCTATGTCGTGACGCACGACTCTTGCCTATTATTTTTACATGCCGGCTTTAAGCAGATTATATTTGGTTAGAGGGCGACCTGTCCACCTGCTGCAACACATCTAAACGGGGGAAGAGCTCCCGAAGCGCCCGCAGAGCTCAGCGCCATGAACCTGC